TAAAAGGCCACCAGGTTGGTCTGACAGGACCTGCCGCTGATGAACCCGTGCTGGTTGCCCCTGAGCATGCTGTTCCCTGCTGGCCCCTCCTGGATGCGTGCCAGAATAATTTTCTCGAACAGCTTGCCCAGGATCGAGGTAAGGCTGACTGGCCTGTAGTTCCCCGGGTCCTCTTTCCTCCCCTTTTTGAAGATGGGAACCACGTTGGCCCTCTTCCAATCCTCCGGCACCTCTCCAGAGCACCACGAGTGTTCATAAAGCCGTGCCAGGGGACTTGCAATGACCCCAGCCAGTTCCTTTAGGACTCTAGTTCTAGTACAAGGGTTGATACTGACATGCTCTGTGTCCCTGAGACTGTCATTTCCTTAATCTCCTTGCTGGTAAAACAAGTACCTTTAATAGCTCATGTGTCAGGATCGTTTGCTAGAAAAATGTATTGAGGGTGAAAGGCATATGTAGGTCGTACTGGTACAGAAAGTGTGGGCTAACAGTGCAGTTGCAAGGAATTACGTTGATTAATGTGCAAATTCATTTTATTTTAGGAAAACATGGACATGTATTCTCGAGTAAAGAGGAGGAGGAAATCACTGAGGAGAAATAGCTATGGTATTCAGAACCATCATGAAGTGTCCACTGAAGGGGAGGAAGAAGGTAAGGATGGTACAGACTTACTTTTTCCAACACACTTATGAAACAAATCTGTCTTGAAGTAATGACAGAAGAAATAGATCTTGTGTTGATAGAAGTAAGTAGTGCAACAGAGAATTTGTACTGTTTGTTTTCTGGATCTGGCTCTAGAATTGTTTTAACTGGCTATTTGAATGGGACCGCTGGAAGTATGCACTGTAAAATTCTCCTCTTTAGCATGCAGATTTATGATCTTAACAGATCTTGGTATTTTCCAGAATTAAAGTTTTTGTTTAAAAAAGAAATCACTTAAATTGGTATGCCAAATGTGGAACAAATTAAAGCAGTCTTCTTTACTTAGTGAACTGAAACAGTTGCTCTGGTAAATGTAAACTGTTCCCATTAATCACAGCAGGGTGTTAATTCTGGAACCCAATGTTGGCAATTTAAAAATCATTAACTATTACTTGAGTGATCATTCTAATAGTAGTATCCAGCTGTTCTCTCTATCTTATGTGTTTAGGTTTATTTGCAAGAATTGCATATAGGAATTAACCTGCTAATTTTACAGTTGTAATTGTTTCCGTGTTAATAAAAAAATCATATATTTTATATAATTATCATAGAAAAATCAAGAGGAGGAAGGTATTCTAGGTTGCTGGAAAGTTTTTTCAGAGAGGTAGGAAATAATTATTAAAGAAAAAGGGTGGGTAACGTAATTAGCTTGTTTAAAACAACTTAGTAAACACAAAATGACTAAAAATTCTGTTTATTTAAAAAAAAGGGTGGATGCTAGAGGGAAAGCTGGCAAAATATCTCGTAGGCTTCCATTTATTACTTGTTTACATAGATTCATAGGAAAAAAATATCTTTTTAGATTTAGAAAAGCTGTGTTTTGGAATTGGGGATGAAGCTGCCTCTGGAATAAATTACCAGAAGTATTCACGATGTTTGTACTCTTTTAAAGAATCTCAAGAGGAAGATGGAGATATAGAAGCAGAGGAGGCAGAAGGAGAAGAAAATGATCGACCGTATAATTTAAGACAAAGAAAAACTGTAGAAAGGTATCAAGCACCTCCAATAGGTAAGGGAGCAGGACCATAGGTTTCCTTCTTTAATCAGATCAAACATAATGTCTCTTTTAGCTTTCTTGCTGTTTAATGGATCTCAAAGACTCTATATATTTTCTCTGCAATGTACCGTAATAGTTTCATCCTAGTTTCTCTGGTTACTGAGTAAACCTTGTCTGGTAGTGAAAGCATGCAACTGTATGCAAGGAGAAATTTTGTTCCTCTGTCGGACTTGCTAAGTGACCTGCTGAAGGTTATGCACCTCTGCTCTACTGTTTGACCCCTTGCACATGTTCATTCAAAGATGCACTGGGATTTGATTCCCCTGTCCTAACAATTGCACCTTCTGTCATGCCACATGTGCATGGCAGGATGCCTGATTTTTGAGATCAGTGATCAGAACTTAATGGCACCATTACTACTTGCCAGTTTAGGAGGAGCCTGGGCTCCCAGGATTCCCTTGCATTGGCAAGTTGAAAGCCAAGTGCTACAGCCTGGGGCTGCACTGGGGTATTTCCAGACTCCTCTGCACTCCTGGAGCTAGAACAGTAAGCTAATTGCTGGTCCTAGCTTTGAGACCCCAGTGAAGCCAGTTACAGATTCCATTGCAGTCCCAGTGAGTTCCAGACCCCAGTTTTGTCATGGGGGTCTGATGGTCTTTCCTTGCCCCAGGATCACACCAAAGCCAGTGTCAGACTTTGTGGTCCTGAGGCTCTTACCAGTAATCAGCTGATTATTGGCCTCACCCCTGGGACTGCACCAGAGCATGTTCAAGGTACCCACAAAGTCCTGGGCTTGGGACCGACAATCAACTGATTGTTGGTGCCAGTCCTGGGGCCACAGTGAAGCTGGTCTGAGACTCCTGTGCAGTTCCAGAGGGCGGGACTGACAATCAACTGCTCATCAGTTCCAGCCCTGGGACCGTGCTGGTGCTAGTTCAAGACTTGGGTGTGGTCCTGGGGCCGGGACCAACGATCAACTGGTTGTCAGTTGCAGACCCAGGACCACACCGGGGTTTTGAGCCAGTTCTGGTTACCCTACCACACATTCAGTTTAAGGTGCAATGGAAACCAGCCACAAAAATGATGCAGGTCTTTTGTAGAATGTTTTATTTGGTTTCCTGTTCTCAGGCCATTAATTCCTTGAACATGCAGCATGGTTAATATTTATGTCAAGATTAACAGACTAAACCACATCTTAATTTTAGTATCTATCGGGGCCCCAGAATCCACTGTGGGCAAAGGAGGAGAATCGCTCTTCATGTTTAATAAAATTCTGTATAAAGTTGCTAAATATGTATATAGGATCACTTGTGGTTAATGCAGCATGGAGTGTGTTGTACTCAATGTAGCAAGACCAGTAACTGCCACATCCAGTCTGACAAATGCTGTTAACAACCTGACTCAGAGATAGTTTAGTTTGGGGTGAACGGAGGCCTGGATAAGAGCTCACTGTTTAAAGTTTAATCCAGATGAAGTGGCAGTGCGGCTAGGTTAGGCCAGTAGGTGACGGTAGTTTTGCCTGTTCTTCTAATTGAAAAGTACCGTGCTTTTATAACTAGAGGTGCACTGATATATTGGCTCGGCATCAATTTAAAAGGAAAATAAACCTTGGCAATCAGCTTTGTTTGGCCGACTTAGCCAGTGAAGTCACCAATAAATGCAATGTGCATGTGCGCAGCTGCAGCATGCAGGAGGCCAGGAATGCACCAGCACACATGAGGCCAGGCAGTTTGGAGTGCAGCGTTCTTTTGGTAAGCCTGCGGGGAGGGAAGGGTTGTGGGGGATGAAAAGGGCATGGGGATGCAGATTGAGGCCCTGTGGTGAGGGAGGGAGTGGGGCAAGGGACAGGCAATACCCAGTGAGGGCAGTGAATATGACCCTGGGGACAGAGCCTGTGGGTGGCTTGTCCAGGGGTAGTGGGCAGGGTGCACAGGGGGCTGGGGAAGGGGGGTGGCTCCTGGTCACTGTGCTCACCCCTGAGGAGGCATGGGGGGTATGTGTCCCCCTGGATTTGTGCACAGGGTGAGGGTGGGCGGCCCACTGCAAGCTCTGGACTAGGGCTTGCACCAGGCGGGCTCAGCTGTGTGGGGTGGGTGGTGGCAACACTGGGAGGGGTGGCTATGGGGAATATTGGGGTGGCTATAGCCCCCAATGCACTCCTAGCACCGCGTCTGCTTGGGGTACTCTGCTCTGCTGACTTTCCCTCAGGAACCCTGCGCTGGCCATGGGTCCCCTGCCCACCCCGCAGCAGGAAGACTCCTGAGGGAAAGGCAGCAGAGCAGAGTGCCCTGAGCAGGGGTGGCACTGGGGAGGTTTGGGGGGGCTATAGCCACCCCTCCCAGCGCTGCCACTGCTGCCCGCCCTGCACAACTGAGTGCGCCTGGTGCCTACCTGCTCCAAGTCCAGCCCTGGCCCAACCCCTCCTCTGGAAAAAGGCTGGCACAGCCCATGGCCCCGAGCTTGCAGTGAGCATCCCACCCTCATCCCATTAACAAATCTGGGGGTGGGGAATATGCTCACTATGCCTTCCCCTGGGGGTACATGCAGTGTTGGGGACCTGCCTTCCCTCTTCACCTCTGCCCCTGCACCCCCTGGTTGAGTTGCCTATGGCTCCTTCCCTCTTCTGGCCCTGGGGTTGCATTCACTGTCTTGGCTGGGCAGTGTGTGCCCCTGCCCCACTCCCTTCCTCACCGTGGGGACCTGGATCTGCCCTCCATGCCCCTTTCC